GCATGCAAAACATGTGTCCAATTTTAAGCTGCAAATGAAAATAAAGCAATGAATTTTTTACAACAAATACAAACATATACAGGACATATGTATCTGTGTGTATGTGTATAGTTGTATTGGTGTTTGTGGCTAATATTGTGAGTGCTTGCTCGACATGCTTCGTTGACCAAATTTAATAGAAAATATTTGAGTGGAAAACCAAAAATAATATGTAAAATAAATTGTAAAATAAAGCTACGAAAAGAACAACAAAAAGCACACAACTCAAATGTATATTGGTACATTTTCTTTATGTTGAAAAATCATGCATATATGTTGTACTACTAAGGGACACGCACAAACATACATCAAGCACACACACAAAAACTCGCATACGTTACTCATACGCCACCGAACACAATTCAATTTATTTGATACCTTGAAATGCAATTGCTTTACATTTCAGTACTGCAATTTTTTCTTTTTTTTTTTGTTTTTTTCTATTTTTTTTTTGATTTTGGGATTTATATTTTATTTATTGTTATTGTTCGTGGGTCAAATGTTGTATGCATAACAGTTGATATGTTTCGTATTTCATCAAACCAATCGTATCAATGTACAACCTTTTGGAAATTGAATTTAAAATTAATTTGAAATCAACGCTTGTTCCATTTCAACAAGTAATTTTTTCCCCTTTTCTGAAAACAAAAAAACAAAACCCATGCCTTTTTTTCTTCAATGTCATACACTACACTACACTACACTAAGTATTGATCTATTAAAAAAGTATATCTACCCTTTCTGCTATTGACATACTTGTTACATTTTTCTCCGTCGATCGAAATTCAAAAATTGAACTGAAAACCTTTTTATTTACATGCATTTCAATTCATTTTTCGAGGTCTTTTTTTGTGTATAAAACTCAATATCTACAAGAGTTTCATTCAATTTGTAAAAATTGAGTGAATGAAAAAGTCGTGTCCATAATATAATTAATTTTTTTAGGCAAATGTTTTGCAGAAAATTAATCCAAATTATTTAATTATTTAATTTCTTTTTTTAATCAAATTTGTTAAACCTTTAAATTCATCAACAAAAATAATTTTTTATTTTTAAAATAACCAAAATAAGCAATCGCCAATTAAATGCATGGTATATTCATGTTTTGTATATTGAAAGCTGAAACATATTTACCCTCCGATATAATTATTTTCTTAAATGAATCAAGCATAATATACAAAGTATTTTTAAATAAAAAAGATTAATAAAAATAAACCTCAACAAATATGCCATATAGCAACTATATTTTTGAGAAATAATCATTTCTAAAAATTGACTTCCATGTGACTTTCTATGGTTTTTCATATTGTACATAAAATTCATACTTATCATACTTATGGGTAAACCACCCATTGTTCGCCAATATGTCAAAAGCGGTCAATCAATAAAAATTGACATAGAATCTTAAAAAATTAATTGATAGAACTTTTCTAACAACTTTAAAAGTCAATTGACGCAAAAATATAATTGTTAATAACATCAATAATTATTTAGAACCAATTCTAAATAGAATTGATTCTACCGGGTATTGCGTATTTTATATCAACCTTCTACTCTGTTTGAAAATTGAAAATTGAAAAACTTCACTACTAGCAGAATGATAATAATGATCGCCAAGTTAAGGAATACCTTACCCTCTTATATAAAAAAAAATGTTTTTCCAACAGGACAACTCGAATTAAGATGACTAGCCAGTGGCTTCTTAATCAACATAGTAGCCAAAGAATATATAATAATAATTATTGATATATAAGAAATATTTTTTCATTTATAATTTTTTCCTCAACAAGTCAACAACAGAGATTTTATTCCCATAAGCTAATATCTTAAATAAATATTTTATCTTTCACTAATTACAATCATTTTCAACACATATTTTCGATATTGTTAATTACACGTTTATAGTTGATTCTGCTTTTTTATACAAGGGTAAGTTCGTAACTTTCAATTTCTTACAAATACATTTTAATTTCTTATTCGCAGGCATGGATAATTTTGACAAATTGGAAGACTTAAAGGAACACCAATTCACTGAAGAAGACGTTGCAGACATGCGAAATATATTTGAAAATTGTGGATCTGATGATGAAATTCAGACACAATCTTTGGGTGTGGCTTTTGCAGGTGTGGGTTTAAAAACTACTGTAGCTGAAACAGAATCGCTAATTGTTAAAATCGAAGACCTTGGCCACAACACCTTGACATTTTCTCTCTTTCTAAAGGTTCTTTGGCATGGTGTATGTCAGCAGTTAGAAGAGCGACGGAAGTTCTTAGAGGAGTTCAAAACTTTTGATACAGAAGGTACTGGATATATAACTGTTGAACAGATACACGAAATAATTGCATTATATGCACCCAACTGTACAAATGAGGAAATGCATTATATAGTTAGTTTGTTTAATATCAAAGATGGTAAATGTAATTATATCGAATTTATAGAGAGTGGTATATATAAAGATGTGCTAAGTTCTTCTAATACCCAATAGCAATGCACTTAGATCCGATAAACAATCTAGTCTTCATATTTTTAAAATCATGTTTATATTTTTAATTATAATTGAATAAAATGTTCGTTAATGTTAATTGTAGCACTTTTATCAATTCATTTAATATTATTATTAAAATTATAGGTAACTGTTTAAGAAAATAAAATGATAACCTCTTAATAATTTATATTAAGGATTTTCGTGTGATATCCAATACGGTTATTCTTTTAATAGTCAAGCTTATTGTATTAGTCACATCATTCAATATCATGATAACCATATACCGAAAAAGTACGTTTAATTTCAGCTATTCTTATATTTACAATTCTGATTGTAATGTGATACTATAATGAATAACAAATATATCGCTCATACTCATATGAATAGTTTCTGAACACTTTCACTTGTCTTTATTAATAATAAAGTCAATAACGTTTTTTTTTTATGTCCTTTAAGAATTTCAGAATGCTCCTTCTAGCTTTTTACACCAATCATCAAAAGAATGTTTCATGTACGATAGTATTTGCTATTGGAAAAAAATATCGAGTATTCATTTATATTGAAACATTCTTATCTATGTGCCTTGGGAGCTACTAAGTTGAATAAGTTATAATTCTCATAAAGTTTGATTATATTGAAAAGTAAATAACAAAGTTTTTAATATTTCATGTATGATTAATTTAATATATTTTGAAAACATTATTAAATTTTGTGTACTATTCATACATTATTTCAGTCAATACATTATTTCTAGACAATCTACAACTGTAATATGCACATGCAATATCAATTACTGTGTAATGTATAATAAATATATAATAAAATAAATATATAAAAAATGTATATTATTAGGAATAAATTGTATAAGTTCTTTTAAGTGACCTACACTATTCTGTTTTCAGTGCATATTATTATCCTTTAATTCTAAAAACTTTTAGTTCCTAATATACATGAATGAGTGCAAGTTGAGCTAAATTAAATTTTTATTTTTTTGGTAATATAAAAGTTTTTATATTGAATTTAGTAACGTGACTAATCGACAAATTGATGTTAACTGAATTTTAAGATTTTTTGAACAACAATTTTATTTTTACACATTCTATGCTAGTGCATTTGTACGTAGAAATGAACTCATGCAAATCAAAAGTTTTATTTGAAAACAGATTTTATATAGAATTTATGCAAGTGTTTTTGCCAAACTTTCAAGTAGAAGGCATGTTCTCTGGAATCTGTACGAAGTGTTAGTAAAAAATGTTAAAATAAATATTTTATAATGTCACTTTTCTGTCAGTGAAGTGATAACTAACTTTTAAAAAACATATTATTTAATTTATAAGTAACTTCGAAAAGAAATACTTTAGAGTGATAAACTTAGTTAAAATTATTTATATTTTTTGCTACGAAGTGAATCAATACAAGCAGTAACTAATATAGTTTTCTTTTCATCTCAAAAATCTAATATGCTCTTGTTATTAATATAAAGTATAAAAACGATAAAAGAAATTCATATTAAGCCATAATAAAAAAAATATCTAATGCAATTAATATTGCTATTTAGAAAAATTCTATTTGAACTAGTAATAATCGAATATCCGAGCTGAATATTTGTCTGCTCACCGACCACATTTTTGCACTGCAATCACATGCAGTTATCACACTTACATCAACTATGCATAGCCCCAATACTGACAGAAAATGTAGTCGTACACATTTATGTCTATTTTCTACGTCACTGCATATTACTATCCCAAAATGTGTTTGTTTGCATGTTTTTACTATTAGTTTAATCACTCGTTTTATCGGCACTTACCATTATACTCTCGTTTAATTGTTACTGTTCTAAGTCACATAGTAACCTTACTTACAGGGTGTTTCAAGAAAATCAAGCGAACATATTTAATAACAAAAATATTTAAAGTACCTGAAGGAAGTATGTTTTAATTCCAAGAAAACAGAAAATATAATCGTCCACACCGGAGCTTAACAATTCAAAAGCATTAAGTACTTAAAGAATTCTTTAGCTACATTAACAACATAAAACGATAGTGTAATAAGCTCAGTAATCACAAATGACCAAATTCAATATCGTTATATACTATTATTGAGTATGGGTGCTGGACTTTGTCGATACACCAGAACCTATCAACTATATTATAATGTACTGTTCCACAACAAAATTACTGTGGTTGTAAATAATGGCTATATAAATAATATGTAGATTATTATTTTGAAAATGACAAATACTTATTTTTTTGACTATTACCGTAGCTAATATAATAAATTACAAAGACTGCATAAGACTCGATATGTAAACGATTACATATTCATACTTCAGCAGA